GTGTTTCAATGAAACGAAGAACCGAAAAAATTTCAAGTGTGCTCACTCTGATGTGTACTTTGAACATGATCTATCTGGTCTAAATGATTATCAGCTTGCCAGGGTTACTTCAGTGTGTGAGAAAGATCCCCACGTGTATCAGGCGTGTGGATTTGACACAAAAATAACTAACACGGATGTGCTGTGTGGAGGCTTGTTTTGTAATAACGAATACATCAAATGTGATAAGAACTGCAGTGCAGATAAAGATTGTTCAGCATTACAGAGTAGTGACGTCTCAACAAAGCTATGTAATTATAAATGTGACGACAATAGATGTATAGATGAAAGTGATTGTAACAGGTATAAATACGGAATTAACTGCAGAACATGGGGTAACTGGTATACGTCTGTAGGCAAGATATGTAACGGATACAAGAGCTGTGATGAAGGAGAGGATGAACAGAACTGTAATGTTACTGAAAGTACGCCACATTCGTGTACACGTTACAGCAGAAAAGTGAGGACAAGAGTCACTATAACAGTACCAATTTTTAACTATACTAGGTGCTCTGTCTTTGACATTAAAAAAAGTTTCATCTATCCATACTGTCTGAACTATCTAGATCAGACTAACTGTTCTGATATAGAGCGAGTAGGGGGGTATTGTGATATTTATGGGTATAACTCGAGTGTTTCTAAGCAAATGGTGTGTTTTGAATATGATGAGAAGACTAGTTTACCAGTTAAGTTATGCGACGATGACATTCAATACAACTGTACATCACCGTCTACTTCCACTAACTGTACAATACACAAACACAGAATGTGTGACGGAGTGTGGGATTGTAATGATGGAAGTGACGAACTTCATGACATATGCGAATACATGACGAATACATTTCCATGTGTCCGTAGGTTTAGCTTTAAAATAAGTATGAAGTTCGGAATACCAGTTTCTTGGATAATGGACGATGTGGTGGATTGTATGGACGGGTTAGATGAACAGCCTGAGGAGTCCGACTTGAAAGTCTGCGGCAACAAAACTGACAAAACCTATCATTTTAAACAAAATGGTGAAATCTGCAAAAACGTCTATCTGTGTCCGGAAAGTGATAAACCATACGTTAAATTCAAACAACTCTGTGACGGAGTGGAGACGTGTGGTGACGGTGCAGAAAACGAGGTTTGTAGAATCGCTAGAGATTTACCAACGATCAAGAATACCGCTCTTTATCATGGAGGATTGCGAAATGTATGTAATGATTCTAACTGTGAAGTAAAAGAGTTCATACGACCCTGGATTGATGTATTCGGAATAACAAAGTTAGAGTTAATTGTTCCGACCTCTAAGGTTAATTGCAGCTGTCTGTTTGGTGAATATTATCTGTTTCTCAGTTGCATGGATCTTTGTTTAGATTCCCGATGTCCTTTAAATACAGACAGAGCATTGTTGTATAATTCATGTCCTGGACAATATCCCAACCGAATCTATACGCTTGCTAACAACTCTTTTCTAACGTTTGTTGCAAAATCAAAACACGGCCATTATCACCAGGACTATTTCCAATGCAATAATAGTAGATGTATTGAATACAAGCAAGTGTGTGATCTCATAGATGATTGCGGGGACATGAGTGACGAGGCAAACTGTGCAAATCACATGACCTGCGAAGACACTTTAAACTCAACTGATCATCAGTTCATTTCCTTATCACAGAAATGTGACGGCATCTATGATTGCTTTGACCTCTCAGATGAATGTAATACCGCTTGTGGGAAAAGAATCCTCGGGAACTGGATACTACAGGTATTATGCTGGGTTATGGGTGTACTAGCATTGATCTTCAACTCGTACACCGTATTCTGTGGGCTGACAACTCTACAGGATAGTGAGACTGAAAATATTATGTTAACTAACAAGGCAATAGTCAGTCTTATCGGATCAGGGGATCTATTTATCGGATTATACTTGGTTCTGTTGTCCGTTTATGATAGTTTCGTATATGGGAACTGGTTTTGCATACATCAAGCCGAATGGTACACCGGAACAGCATGCTCGATACTGGGGGTCATCAGCACAGTTGGATCACAAGTGTCTCTTTTCGCAATGACAGCTTTAAGTATCATCAGAATGTATGGGCTGACTTTTAAGAGAATGGGTATTCCAGGCCCTGTAAAAAGAAATTCCGTCATCAAGCTTGCTTTCTTGGTAACAGGTATTATCACTGCTTCACTAGCTATAGCTGTTACACCATTGATACCTTCATTAGAGGAATATTTTGTACAAGGAATGTACTATGACCCCATCTATAAAGTTTTCATAGGCTTCCCCAACAAAGAGAAACATGTTAAAGTTCTTCAAGCTCACTACAATACCACTAACATCACTATGGACTTGACCTGGAAAGAAATCAGTGATAAGGTGGACGGTATGTTCACTCAACAATATGGACTTTTGAGTAGACGTCCAGTTCATTTTTATGGTAACGGCGGTGTATGCTTATTCAAGTACTTTGTTCGGAGTGACGATGCAAGAAGGATCAGACAATCAATAGAAAGTAGAGCAGACATAACTGATCATAAAGGAGATCCAGTAGTTTGGCTAATGCTCTGTGTGAACTTAGTCTGCTTCATCATCATCACTTGTTGCTACTTAGTTATCAATATCCAGACCAGGCTTTCTTCACGGAGATCAGGACAGCATCACAACCCAGAAAGAGTGAGGGACAATAGGGCTTTACAGAATAAAATTACTCTCATTGTTGCAACTGACTTCCTTTGCTGGGTACCATTTATTGTTATAAGCGGTATGCATAATCTTGACGTTTTTGATGCGACTAAATGGTATGTTACGTATGCAATGATAGCTCTTCCACTTAACTCTGTTATCAACCCGCTGATATACGACAAAAAATTAACAGAGTTCTTAGGTAGACATTTAGGAGAGGTTAAAAGACTCATCAGGCTCAGTACCTCCGCAGTTATGTCTTCGTTAACAGGATTCATTTCGACGAGGAGTGAAAACATACAGAGCGGGAACAATGAGATAGATGTCATACAGATGGAACCTTTCAGAGTACAAGAGGATCGGGAACTTCCAAATCAAGTATCAGCAGAGACAGAAAATCTGTGAAGTGTTTATTCTGATCTGTGAAGTGTTTATTCTGATGGTACTGTTACTCATGTATAACAGCTCTGACTTCATAGTTCATCTACAATGTAAAATTTGTATTTAAAATTGACTTAATTGTAATCGATTAACGTCGTATTCTATCTTAAGATATGAATATATCTATAGTGTACGCCTCAGCAATATTTGTTACTTACATAAACACATTCTGATTCGTTTAATCTTTCACAGGATGAATCCATCATTACAATATCATTATCTGCTATGTTAAATTCTATACTGGGGCTCTAGATTCTGATTTCTTATTTTCAAAAAGTTTATTGTACCTTTATCATGGCAGGATGCTACTTGAACTGGTATCAATACTGAATACTAACGCTCTCAAGATGAGTTACAACTATGTTAATCAGATGTCTTATTAATAACGTTTTACATACTTTATTCCTGGATATACTTAATAATGCACGACCGAAAGTGTAAGACAATAACAGTACGACATGCTGCACTAAAACAGTAACACTATTAACAAGGCCCAGTGAACTATTCAGATGGAGCAGTTTTAGTCTTCAAATATTTGCATATTGTTCTCTCACTTTAATCATCAAAACTTTGTTCATATTTATCGATAATAATTTTTTCGAAATTTGTTGTTTTATTTATTTTTGAAGTTACGAAATAACATTGTTCACCGAGAACATATTAATATGAGCGTCTTTCTCAGATAAGATTTGGACTCTTGTTTGAGTTAAACAACATTCAATCCAATTTGATATGTTGAATACAGGAACACCAGTGTGATCAGCCAAAATGGGCTTTATAATTATATGCAACTTTATACTCGTTGGGAAATAAAGTACATATTTAAACTAAAATAAACCATTATATTACATGTTTGGCAATGTATTACGATCCGGTGAATAATCTGCATTTTCGTCGCTGAGTTTTACTTTACAAAGTTGGAGATTCGTGATAAGATATGATTGGCGAGCACTATTAATTAAGGGATTTTTTTGTGCACCAAGCAGGATTATTTTTCATTATATTTTGCTTCATTAACATTAAAGCATATTAATTTGATTATGTTTAAGCCCAGGAACAATTAAAATAGTAAATAACTACATACTTATATATGACTTGCAAATCATTGTATTGAGATCTATCTTCGTAACAATTTCTGTCGCATCACATAATTTAACGATCGTCAGCTTCCATTAATAATAATTCCAATAAAGTTTGAAATCTGTATCTGCTACAGTTTAAGTTAGGGTAGTGGTCCTGGAAGAGGTTAAGAATATAAATACCCAACAAGCACTGATAAGCGATAGTATCAAGGTTACCTGTATGCGATTGCAAGTTAGATGGTAGCCGCCCGAACAGACACACATTACCCATAGACCCACCAGAACTATATCACAGCAAAACAAAATGCGGGGATGTACAAAATAATGTGAACCAGATTTGTATGTTATCAGACGGCTACACGTTACACACGGGGTGTGTGGAATGTCTGATGGGACAGGGTCCAGCTGCGCGTTTACAGGCGGAGGTCCAGTCACGTGCCGTAATGTCGCGCGCTTATTGGTTGAGGCAATGTCACGTGTTGTTGTACTACGCGCTATTTTGATGATATTTGGAGCATTCCTGCGCGGAGATTGTGGCAGTTAAAACACTGTGTATCATGTCTACCGTGCCTGGTTGCAGTGGTTGGTATTTGCATTTTCCAATATGTTTCAGTTTTATTTCGCTTAAATGACTGGAAAGTAGAATGAAATATTGTCTGTCAGTCTGTAAATTGTGTGTTTCAACTTGCTGGACTTTTGCTCGGTTTCAGAAAGAAACAGCGAAATGTTCAAAGTAAAATAAATTGGACATTTTAACGTCTACTTACCTGGGCTGGGTGTGTGATAACCGTTTGTTAACCTCACTGGTGAGCTATTGTCTTCCACCTGACGAATATTTGTGATATTTCATATTAGTGCGGGACTTTGGAACACGTGATACATTACCTTCGACCCTTCTGTTCTTGTGATATTTTATATTTAAGCTCTTTCTAAATTTTGACGTTCCATCAAATGACAATTTAGACCATGACCAGTTTCTTCTTTCGTTGCAATTTTTAGTTTCATTATCAAACAATCTTGATCAGTTGTTCCGGAATTCGATCGTGTTGTTATCTTGGAAATCAAACTTGAGCTTGGGGTGCTCATAAAATAAAGCGCTAATCGATATACCAACACCTAATTGATTGAATACAAATATTATAGAATATAGTATATGATTTATTTTCGTTTAGTTATTTACCAACACGTGCATTAAGTTTACTTACATTTCCGTTTAAAAGGACAGTGCTGGTTCCATTGCTATGGTTACCATCAGAGTATCCCAGCTCTCCGAACACGTGATCTTGGTCGTATACCACGTGACATTGACCGTTCACTTTAGCGTGGTGTCCCTGGGTAACGTTATGTTTACTTCATCTTTCATTACCGTTAGTTGTATTACTATTGTTTTATAAAAGTACTTATTTAGTTCTACTAAAGTAGTCTTATTGAAAATAACAGCTTCATGTCAGAAGTTAATATCTCTCAAGAGAAATATCCAGTTACCTTATACCATAAGAATTATCAAAAACAAACCCAACAATTCGGTTTTTAAAACAATTTTTACAACAAGTAAAATTGTCACACACCTCGTTAAAAAGCTGGACAATCTTACTGAGTCTAGGGGGTAGAGCTAACTTAACCTTGCCCACCTCCACCACTAACATCAACTGATCTTGTGATGCCTCCTCCGGCACCACCACCGGCTTTATCATGGTGTCATGGTGACCCTACTGGTGAGGTTCAGGGTTAGCTGGTGACTGGTGTTAGGATTTACTTGTACTTGCTTGGGTGTTAGGACACTCTTACAACCGATTTTAATTCTAGTTACTATAGCAACAATTATGTTACTAGTTACCGAGGCAACAATTTAATAATGACAACAATTGCGATTGTAAGCACTATCAGTTGCCGTCCAACTTTCAATTTTACCAAATACAATTATTACATGTGCAATAGCTCTCGAGTTGAGTGTTGCAAAGGTTAAACAGCAAAAGGGCTAAAACCGCTGAAAATATCTGCTATGAGCGCCAATTTGGTTCTTTAAATACCGGTAAATACACTTACTTACCAGCCAGTTGTCATGGAAACAGTTTAAATGGACTTTTGTTGGGTTAAATTTTTTAAAAACAGTATTTAAAGCAAATTTTTCTCTGGAAAAAGCATTAAAAAATTTGGGGAAAAAGGACTAAACCCTATTCCATGGGGGACCCAGGGGTTGCCCCTATTAAAAAAAACCCCAGTTACCCAATTTTAAAATTATCTTCAAAAAGGTTTAAACCCTTTAAACAAAATTTTTCTTTAAAACCAAACTTTCTCAAACCCCAAACTCTACCAAAACCTTATAAATCCCTCGGAAAAACCCAAACCCATCCCCCCCCGTAAGAAGGGCCCAAAAAATTTTAAAAAATCTAACCCTTTAATTCCCCAACCAACCTTCCTTGTTGTTTAAACAAACAAAATTTATCATTAAAAAGGTGCGGGGTTTAACCCCAAAATATTGTAAAAATTTACCCAAAACTATTTAAAATTGAATTTTTTTAAAAAAAAAAACATTTTTAAAAAAGTTTACCAAAATTTTTTAATTTTAAAATTTAAACCAAACCAGTTATTTAAAATTAATTAAAGGGTAAAAATTTTTTATAAGGTTAAAAAACGGGGTTTTAAACTTTTATAAAAATTTAAAAAGGGGGAAATTATAAAAGTTTTAAATTAATGAATTTTAAATTTAAATATTCCAAATGTTAAAATGAAGCAATTTTCCCCAAAGAAAAAAAGGGGTTATGAATTAAACCACACATTTCCCCAAAAAAAATTTAAATGCAAGGGTTACCTAAAAAAAATTTAAAGTTATTTAAAGTTTATTACCGGGTTTTATAAAGTTTTTTAAATTAAAGGTTTCCCAACATTCATTTTAAATTTAAGGGGTTTAATAAATTTTTATTTAACTTTTAAAATAAATGGTTAAAGAAAAATTTTATAAATTTTTCAAACTTTTTTCCTACCGTTAAAAAGGGGGTAAAAAAGGGAAAAGGGTGTTTTTGTGTGGGGTTGGAGGAAGGGGGTATTTTGTTTGGGGAAAATTTTCAAAAGGGTTAAGGGTTTCATTGGTACTGAGGGGTTTTTAAATTATTATAAGTTTTAAGGGGCTAGTGGAGAGTTTGGGGGGGGGGGGTTTTGGGGTTTTTTAAAAAAAAAAGGGGGGGGGGTAGGGTTTGGGGCAATTTTAATTTTGGGGAAAAATAATTTATAAGGGGTTTAAAGGTTTGAAATTTTAAAAAAGAAAATTTTTTTAGTCTTAAGGACCAAAAGGGGGTAATATCTTTCAGAAAAATTTTTTTGGGCGAGATGGGGGCAAGAGTTTCCAAACAAATTTATTAAAAATTTTTTAAGGGTTTTGCTTAAAATTTTTTAATTTTAATTTTATTTTAATTCCAAACCCAACAACACTCCCAAGGGGTTGTTTTGGTCCCCTTTTATAAATAGTGTGTGGGGGTTTAAACCAGGAAAAGTTTTACAGGGAATTATTTGGGTTGTCTCTGAGTGAAAAGGTTTTTTTTGGGAAAGAGGAAAAGGGGAAAATTGGAAACGGTGTTTTTAAGGGGGGTTTTATTTCAAAAAAAAAAAAAAAGAGTGTATTTTGTTTGTTTTTGGGTTTAACGATGAAAGGGGGTTGCCCATGGAACGAGTTTTTGGTTGAAAGGGAAAACGATTTTTTGGGGTTTGTAAAGGAAACGAGGGTTTTAAAGGGGGAAGCGTTGTCAAGGGTTTCGGTTTTTGCGTTTGCCCTTGGGTTTAACTTTTTTAAGTTTTGGGAAAACGGTGTAACGGTTTTTTCGTGGTTTTAAGAGTTTTTGGAGGGTTTTGGTAAGGGGTTTTTGTAATTTTTTGGGTCCTTGAAAAACTTTTCCCCAAAAGGGTAACCGTATGCAGCCTTTTTGGGGAAAAGTTCATGATGAACTTTTAATTTTGGGCCCCATAAAAGCAAAGGGAATTGGGGCGTAACAACTGTTTTAAAAAATTTGCACGAAAATTGTTCCCCAGATAAACCAAATTTTGGGAATTCCGAAAATGAGCGCTGAAAGGAGAATTTGGTCACCCCCTAACCAAAAAGGGAGGGTAACTTTTAGGAAATTTTTTTTTTGGGGTTATAAAAACCCTTTTTTTGGATTTCATTTATCCAAATTGGGGGTACCCAAATTATATTTATTTTTCTGGGGCCAAGCCCAAAGGGCAACCCTTTTAAAGCCTGTCTTTGTAAAAGGGAGATTTTTTAAATACATGTGCATGATAGGGGATTTCATTAAGGGGAAATTTTTTTTTTTTTTGGGGGAAAAATTATGCTGGGCCGTCTAAAACCTTTGGGAAACTTTTTCCCTACTCAAAAAACTTGCCACCATCTCAACAAATATCGAGAACTTCAGCAAAAAACCAACAATTTCAGTTTCTGACCCAGAGTAGAAAATCTTTAAAACCATTTAAATTTAAAAAAACAAAAGCAAAAATAAAAATACTTTGCATATAAGACTCACAAAAATGAACAAAAGGGACACCCATTGTTTTTAAGTAAGTAAAAACCCTACAATACTCCCAGACTCCTTTTAAAAACACTACACGCTCAAAGCAGCTGTTTGAAAAACTGATCAATTTCCGCCCCCCCTCTTTTCTCCAACTGGGAGGGGGCAGAGAGAGAGAATGTGCCCCTCTACGTAGAGTGACCCGGGGGTTCCCCTACCCTAAAACCGGGTTGTTTTACCCGTGAGAGAGAGTAGATCATTCCCGCTAAAAAGGGGGAAATGAATTCCCCTTGCTGTGCTTTCTGTCCCTGGAAAGGGTGGGAAAACCTTTTTTTTGGGGCACCCGGCCCAATAAGTACGTTAAGGCCTTTTTTTTGAGTTTTTGTTTTAAAAAACGGTTTGGGGAATCGTTTTATTTTAATAAGTCAAGTTGCAAAAATTCCCGTAGAAGAAAAGGGTGTTTAGAAACTGCACATTTGGGTGCTTTTTTAAACGGGGTTTAAAGGTAAACTATTTAAAGAGGTCCCCCAAAAATGAAATGCCTCGCAAAAAGAGATAACAGATTTAAAACACTTTTAAATCATTAATTGCCCTGATAAGGGGCACGGATAGTTTTAGTCCTTCAAAAACAATTTTTTTGGGAATCTGCCCAAAGAAAACTTTGAAAAAAAAAAAAGAAAGCATTTTAAAACAAAATTTTTTAAAAACCGGGCCCAAAAAAAAATCATCTATGGGAATGTTTCCCGGGAAGGGTCCCAGACCCATAGCAACATATAAACCCTTAAAACCCAACCCCACAACATCCCGGGCCCCGGACTTTCCCCCAAAATTTTTAAAAAAGGTTTTTTAAAGGGAGGGGGGGGTTCGCACCCCCAACCTCTCTCCCTTCCCCCCCCCCCCAAAATAAAATAGGGTACAAGGGGGAGGGGGAAGGGGGTTCATACACCTCTACCACCTCCCTAACCCCAAAATAACTACAAAACCAAAGGAAAAGGGGGAGGGGGTAGGGGGTTTTAAATACAACCTAACCATTTCTAACTACCCAGAGCAAATACCTACGAAACAAGGGGGAAGGGGAGGGGGGGGGGGGTTAAACCCACCTCAAACCACTCTAATTTCCCCCGGGGAAAAAAAAAACTACGTACAAGGGGGAGGGGAGGGTGGGGTTTTAAAAAAAACCCCTCTACCCCCTCCCTCCCCACAAAAAAAACTATTTCCAAGGAGGGGGGGGAGGGGTTCAAAAACACCTCTACCTCTCCCCACCCAAAAAATTTCCCTACGTAAAAGGGGGAGGGGGAGGGGGATGGGGTTCAAAAACCCCCCTTACCTTTTTCCAAAACCCACAAAAAAATTAGGGGGAACAAGGGGGAGGGGGGGGGTTTTTCAAAACCCCCTACCTCTCTCCTTTTAACCCAAAAAATAGCTACGGCAAGGGGGGAGGGGGGGGGGGAAAGGGTTCATAAACCTCTACCACTCCCCCTCCCCCCGGCAAATAACACGTAAAAAGGGGGAGGGGGGGAAAATGGGGGGGGTTCATACACCTCTACCTCTCTCCCTACCCAGCAAATAACTACGAAACAAGGAGGGGGGAGGGTTTCATACACCTCTACCACTCTCCCTTCCCAGCAAATAACCGTAAAAAGGAGGAGGGGGGGTTTCCCCTACCCCTACCACCCCCTTTCCCCACAAAAAACCCCACTACAAGGAGGGGGGGAAGGGTTCAAAAACACCCACCACCTCCCTTCCCAGCAAATAACTACGTACAAGGGGGGGGGGGAGGGGGGGGGGTTTAATAACACCCAAACCACCTCCCTCCCACCAAAAAACTACAAACAAGGGAGGGGAGGGGGAGGGGTTCATACACCTCTACCTCTCTCCCTACCCAGCAAATAATACGTACAAGGAGGAGGGGAGGTCCGGAGGGGGAAAGGGGTTTAAAACACCCCCCCTTTTTCCTTCCAAAGTAAATAATATTTTAAAAAGGAGGGGAGGGGGGGGGGTTTCACACACCCTCCCACTCCCCTACCCAAAAATTTTCAACTGCCCAAACCCCGCAAACAACAATTTTCCCCTAAAGGACAGGGGGACTGACGAAAAATTAACTTTAACGGGTACGGTTTACATCTTGAAATTTGGAACCCTGGGGCTGGGAGGAAACGGGGATTTGGTAACGGGTTTTAACAAAGGGGGAAACCCGGGTCCGTGTTTTGGT